GCCAAGTTCACTGACAACAAAAAACTTTGGGAAATAGTCTCCATACTTAAGGATAGGTTGGTGATCCAGGCCAATCTTGATAGGCTTGCAAGATGGGTGGCTGAAAAACTGATGGCATTCAATATGGAGAAATGCAAGGTGCTCCACCTCAGGAATAAAAACCCTCATCACACTTATAGACTTGGCAATGCTGTGCTTGCTACCACAACGACCGAAAGAGACTTGGGGGTCATGATTGACCACAAGATGAATATGAGCCACCAAGGCAGTACTGCAGCTGGAAAAGTGAATAAAACTCTGACTTGCATCAACTGACGCATCTTGAGCAAGACCCAAGCTGTCATCCTCCCTCTGTACTCAGCCTTGGTGAGGCTGCAGCTGGAGTACTGCATCCAATTCTGGGTTCCACAATTTAGGAAGGACGTGGAGAAGCTTGAAAGAATCCGAAGTAGAGATCAGATCCCCAGAGCACATGATCAGAGGGCATGAGAACAGGCCTTATAAAGAGAGGCTGTGAGCTATGGGACTCTTTGGCCTAGAGAAGCAGAGGCTCAGGGGTGACTTGGTGGCAGCCTATAGGTATACAAGGTGTGTGCATCAGGATCTGGGGGAACACCTGTTAACCAGAGTACTCCAGGGGATGACAAGGTTAAACGGTCAAAAACTCCTGCAAGAATGTTTTAGGCTGGATTTAAGGAAAAACTTTTTATTGTCTGATCCCCCAAGGCCTTGAACAAACTCCCCCCACAGCTGGTGCAAGCACCTACTCTGGACACTTTCTTGAAACATTTGGATGTTTATCTTTCTGGGACCCTTTGACCCTAGCTGACTTGCTGCCCCTTGGGCAGGGGGCTGGACCTGATGATTTTAAGAGATCCCTTCCAGGCTAATGTCTATGAAATCTACCCCACTGCACACCCTCTGGTTCCGTGTGTGTGTGACATATATCAAACACACACACACACACACACACACACAAAATGCTGAATATTACATAATAAATTTTGAAACAGATAAGAAATTTGAGGGGCATATAAAAGATGCACATGTGGGAGTTAGATTAGATGTCCCCTGAAGTTCTTTCCAACACTATACTTTTTTAACAAACTGCACTCTTCATACTAATCCATCACCTCTATTCCCAATTTCTGTTCAGCCCTAATAAAAAATAGCTGTTTCACACACACCTACATGCACACACATTTCCTTCTCCCCTTTATTCCCCCCTCCCTAAGTTGTATGCCAATGAGGCAAATAGATTCTTTCACCAGTGACAGTTTAAAGGACCAACCTGCCATGAGTTCTCAGTAGCAGGAACTGGTATATTAAACGACCAAAGGGGAAGATTCTCAGCCTTCCATTACAATGAAAAAAACCACAACAGCCCCAAAACCCCCAAACATGTTCATTCTGGTTATAATAAGTTCTGAAGTATAAACCTTCAGAAGACTGTAAACAGGAACCTGAATGTTATTATTTTGGTTCACTGGTTCAAATCAAGCTTCAGTCTTGATTATTATACTACACAAAGCTGAATACCACACACACACACACACACACATTAGGGGTGTGAGAAACAGGCTGTTTTCAATTCAGATTTGGCCTGAATCGGGAACAGTGATTCAATTCATTGAATCGGATCACTGTCCCAATTTGATTAGGCTGAATCCCAATCTGAAGATTTGATACTGATTTGGACTGTCAGCGCTAGGGCCATAGGCACAGTTTTAAATGTTTTTTTCTATATACCTCAAGGTACCAGGAATGGCTCATAAACACTGCGACTGTGGGGTGGATGGAGGATCCCACAGGAGAGTGGGGGGGGGGCACCCGCATGCTTGGCAGTGAACCCAGAAGTGGACCCGATGCACTTCTGGTCTACTTCCGGGTCCACCGACAAGCACACAGAGGACCCTCCCCATGCCCTCCCAACTCAGCAATTGGCCATGGGGGGGTCCTGGGTGCCCCCCCCCCGGACCCAGGAGGCACCAGTTACTGAGCCGGGGGCGGGCAATATGCTCCCCAGCAGACCCAGAAGTGGACTGGAAGTGCTTCTGGTTCACTTCTGGGCCCACTGCTGAATGCGCTGGGGATCCCCCCACGCTCCTGTGGGACGTTCCATCTGCCCCACCATCTCAGTGTTCCTGAGCCACCTGGCACCTTGAGGTATATAGAAAAAAACATTTAAAGCTATTTCTATGTTCAAATCATCGACTCTTTCCAAACCTCTCTGAATCAATTCGGAGGGTTCCGATTTAATTCAGAGAGATTAAAGGGTTTCCAGATTCAATTCAGATTTGGAGATTTGGCCACTGAATTAGGCCAAATCAAATCAGTGACCAAAGTTTGCACAGCCCTAATATATGTACATATGTATACCCGCCCACATGTGTGTGTGTGTTGTTGGTTTTAGGGGGCTTCACAGTTAGTAACTACCATAATCATAATTAGGAATGTTTTTGGCAGTCTCAGAACATAAGGAAAGGATAAATGGAAAGTGAACTAAAATTGCTCTGTCACATTTTAAATTAAGTCAAAGACTGGCAGAAAAATACAAGAAAGCTTGCATTACCACATCCTGTACTCTGCCTCTAAGTAAATACAGACCCTTCAAGCTCAGGGATTCATGCATGCATGTTGACTACACACTTCATTCCCTCAAGCAGCTCATTCACTATAAAGTTTAAAAATCATCTATTCCTTGTCATACTGCTCAGTAAATGACTGATGAAAACCACATGAAAGTTTTGAAGACAGATCTGGAAGGCTCTGAAAATGTCAAGTTAGCTTTTTTCTTTTTCACTATGCCAAAAACAAGCCTTTTGATACAGAACTGAGTATAAAATTGGCCTTGACCTCTATGATAGGATGACTAGACCCTATGTGTCATGTAAGTAAGCAGAAGTAGCTTCATAGAGGCTTACAGTGAAGTGTTCTGTACCTGCAGATTTAACAAAATGGCACCAATTCTCATGGCTTCACTGACTTCAAGACTGTACATCTGCTGGGGAAAGCGGGGAGGGCTCTGATTGTTTGGAGGAAGTACCTCAATGTAAACAGTAGTGATGGAACTCCTGAAGGGACAGAAAAAGAAAAAAACAAATCAAAATCAATGGCAATGCAACTTCAAATTTCTACATTTATATGCTGTCCTATTCCTGTAGATTACAACAAGTTCCTCCCCTATTTCAAACCCTTCAAAATACACTTCCCTGCACATTACCTCAGAAATTATTCACACTTTCATTTCAACATAATGAAATATAAATGAATTTTTAAAAGTTGCACAAGAAAGGTACTTTGCCAATAAAAAGCAAAAGCACTTGAGCAAAATAATACCTTTTCTAACAAGGTGCCAAGTTCTGATATTTTACTCATGCTTATCTCATATCTCATCTTTATCTGCTCTAAAGTCAGCTTTGTTCTTTGGGGGACAAAATGTAGGGAGTGTTGAAGAAAGTCTGGAATACATAGTACTCCACAGCAGAGTAAAGACTTGGACTATTACCATGACTCCGGTCATGGTGAACACTGTCATCGAAGCTTATACTACCTGCAGTACCCAAGCTAACTTGCCTAAAGCTAGCTTTGGCATGGATACATGAGCTTCAGTTTCAGCAAGAACTGTAATATAGACACACTCAAGTGAAACTGCTCCAAAGTTACAGTGAGAGTTAAAATAGCCTGAGCAGCCCCAGGAGAAGATTAGGCAGCTTAGAAGCACCGTTGTCTTACACCTCAATGAGGCTAAAAGTCTAGCTCAGGGCTGTCCAATTTCTTAAAAGCCTACACACCGCAGGGGCAACAGCATCAGGGTCCACGGGTGCAGTCTCTGGCCCCCAACATGCAGGCTCCCCCAGCACCCTGTGAGTAGTTGTCCCACCACTGCTATACTACATATGTTGCAGGACAGCAGCCTCAGTGCACCTTCTTGCCTGAGGCTTCCCCCACTGCACTGTGCAGCTTGCTCGCCTGGACATGTTGTGAAATAACATTTTTTCCCCCTTCCCCCTGGAGGGAGAATGGTGGGAGAGCCTGGAGTTCCTGGATGCAGCAGCAGCCACAACAGTGAAGGGAATGGAGTCAGGGGGAATCTGAGAGTTGCAGATTAATGCAGACCATGGGCTGACAGCTGGATAGTGTTGGTGCAGCTCACTTCTAAACTGTCTCCAAAGAAGTAAAGTATTGTTAATTATGGCTATGCATAGCTTCAGGTGCTGATTTGATTCAGAGGAGATTCGGCCTGATTCAGCAGTTGAATCTCTGAATCTGAATCGAATCAGGAGACCAATACAAAGGTCCGAATCAATGTGATGCTCTCCAAATCTGTTTGGAAAAGATTTGGAGAGCTTTGAAGATTTGGACAGTCTCCACTCGCTGATGCAGGGAGCTGGACCCAGACTCCGTGACGATAAGTAGGGGGTGGGGGGGGGCTGGAAGAGGGGGAAAGGCACCATGGGGGGATGCCCACCAGTCCCCATCCACTGTCTGCTCCTTAAGCCCCCCTGAGTGCCCCCCCTACCCCAGCCCTGCCAATGGCTGCCCCACCTAGCCCCAGCGTACTGGCTTTTTAAAAATTAGATTATGGAATCTTCAGATCAGGCAGTGTCTTCTGTACAGCATCTACTGTAATAATAAAATAATAATAATAATAATAATAAAAAGGCCCTACAGTCAAAAGATGCTGTAGTGACCATCAGGGATTCTGGGAGGGGGCATGGCAGAGCCCCTCACACAGCACGGGGCAGTGTGGGGCAGCGGGGACTGCCCCCCCCCACCTGGCAACAGCTGGTGAGCGCAGCCTTTTTTGTTTTTTTAATTGCCAGGACACTGGGGCCAGGTGGGGCAGTCATTGATGGGACTGGGAGAATGAGCGGGGGATGGGGGCTTGTGGCAGAGCTCCTCATGTAGCACAGGGCACTGGGGGAGGCAGTGGGGATCACCCTCCTCCCTGGCAGGATCCGGTGAGTTCAGGGCTTTTTTCTTTTCTTTTTTTTAAGAGCCAGGATGCTGGGGCTGGGTGGGGCAGCCATTGATGGGACTGGGAGAGGAGGTGGGGGGTGGGGCCTGTTTGATTTGGAGATTCTGTCAGTTCAGCCAAATCGATTCAGGACAGTGATTCCAATCACTGAAACAAATCACTGCTGAATCCAAATCTGAAGCAAATACTAGCTGCTTCGCACAGACCTATTGTGCATCACTCACTTGTAACAAGTTCCTCTTCTGCATAAATTGCTTGTCAGAGTTTAATTTTTCTTTATCTTTAGCATTAAAGGAAAGTACCATGACAACAGAGATGCCCAACATTTCTAGAAGAAAAATTCTATTGTGCCATTAATGTTGTACAAGACATTAATAGCTGTCCTGTCCTATTACTGTGATAAGAATCATTAATAGACCATTAATATTTAAAACATTGCTACCCAAACTAATCAGATGCATGCATTTAAAGTTAATTTGAAATAGCTTTTGTGTTAACTGAAACTACATTTAATTAAATACTATAACAGAACTTCAGTCATTAATATTTTGATAATTAGCTACACAGGATTCTGATTTAGTACTTGTTTGGTGCTGTACTTTACTTTTACATTTACTATGGAATGTAAACAGAGGTGAATCAGGGGTGGTGTGCTTGCACCTCCCTTTGATTCCTGCTCATTTCAAAGTTTAAAACCAACTGCCTGGCAGTGGCAGTGCCATTTATATTCAGGAAGCAGTGAAAGCATCAACTGATTTCACACTTCATTAACATCTACCTGATTCCTTCCAAACTTTTAATTTCACAAAGTGTTAATGACCCACTCTCCTTTTAACAGTCTTGATGTTCCACTAATCCAGCTCACATTTCTTTTTCAAAATTCTGCTGTCTGTTGCCTATTCCTGGTAACATAGCTCCTATTTCACAGCCTTGCAGACAGTTTTTAACTAATTCCAATAAAGTTATACATGCTCTCACTTCAATCTTAAACTGAATCCTATAGCCCTATGTCCCTTAGTATATTAGTAAAGCTTCTAGTTTCTTTTTCTTCATACTAGTTCTATAGTATACTAGAATTTGGGGTGCCCTGGGAGGCTGAAGGGTTGGAAGGGGGAAGAGGTAGTGGTGTTGAGAGTTGGAGTCTTACTTCCCCACACATGGGCAGGGACAACATGTTTATCAAGCTTTTCATAAAATGCTGTCTTTGGTTGGCTGCAAAACTCATTTTCACCTTTACCCTGAAGAGGTGACATTTTAGTGAAAACAATCACCAAACAGAAGTTTGATGCTTATTTGCTTTTAATCATAGTCTAAAAACAAATACAAAATTTCCACTGAACTTTAGGGTACAGACATAAATGAGAGCAGTTAACACCTGTCATTGTGATAAGTGTTTAAGAAGCTCAAACCTGAAGATTATTGACACAGTAGGTGTAAAGGGATCTGAGTCAATTAAGCAATAGCTGGATTTTTAAAAAGGAATAATTTTGAACTGAATTTCCTTGTTAGGTAGCAGTGATATTTTAAACATCACTACTTTTCCACTGATTTTCCATAAATGCATTATTTAAACTAATGCTACAAATCAGGATTATTGGATTTGAAAAATTTACCAGAGCTAAATGTTAAAAAATGAGTATGATAAATAAGCTGATAAGAACCCATTGTAGCACATGCAATCGTTGTTTACATATGCAAATGACTTCTTATGAGTTCTATTACCTCTATTTTATATGCATATGTAAATACCTTTTTAGCTTTTAGTGTGCATGCTTACAAGTACTGAGAATGAAATTACTTTGGCTCTGTATCTTCTTTTCCTATGTCTTAATAACACCCAACTAACTTAAACCAAACTCGGTTTAAAATATGGATTTTTTTTTGCTCATTACACTTGGCTTTTCATATTCAGCAAATTTTCTTTAACTCTAAGATAAAAGCATAGGAATAAAATACTTCCAGCCTGTAACCTAGAAGATTTCAGTATAATAGTTTATTCCTAATGTTTTACTATCCTCAGACCATTTACTGACATACTTTAGTGCTCTCCACTTCTAGCCATTTATTTTATAAGTTTAGTCAGGGGCTATGCAAGCTGTTGGGAAAAATATTTCAGCATAATGAAAGGATAAAGAGTCTTCTACACTGTAAACAATTGCAGTGCATGTACTATATACCATGTGAAAAGATGAAAATGTGACTTTTCTGTAATAAAACAAAGCTTTAGAACCAAGATCAAGAGAGAGAGAGATCCACTTTATCAAAGTTTGAGCAATTCTGCATCTAAAACAGTTCACATATGTATATGGCAAGAGTGTGACTTTAATGCTACCAATAGTGCAAGTGTGAGGCAAAGCAAATCTCCCATCATTCTAGGAGAAGCACTGGAGAGAACGTGGCCCAGTTTGCACCTTGGCCTTGCATTCCTTGAGCCCAAGACGCATGATGTATAGGAGTGTTTTTGAGAACAGACCCTGAATAGCCATTCATATGGTGGGAAGCTCCTCCTTCCTCATCACTTTGAAGCTACATGGAAATTGTTTGCCCTCTGAGCTAATGTAGATGCTCTGGTCACCAGCAGCATAACATGGGGACGGTAGGTAGGGCATATGTTCTGGGCACTGCCTAAGGGAAGAGGTGCAAGGACAGGGGTGGGCAATTATTTGGGTCTGAGACCTACAAGGGGAATTTTGATAAGCTGTCACAGGCCAGATCTGCATCCACCCCTCTGCTGCAACTACTCACCAAAACTCCCTATGGGACTGCAGGTAGGTGTGGAGCACTATTCGGGAGGAGTGGCTGAGGCTGGGATCATGGGACTGGGTTGCAGGGCAGTGGCAGCTCCTCTGGCTAGGATGTGTGTGTGTGGCGGGGGCGTGGTTGTGGGGGCATGTGCATGTGTATGTGTGTGGGGAGGGAAGTGCCTAAGTACTAGGTCCTGGGAGCCTGCTGAGGGCAAAGGGGGTGGGGGGCAGAGGGTGCATGCAGCAGAGTTCACCTGGGTGGTATAGCCCCACCTGCTGGCACATTGGGCAGACTATGGCATGCTCTTGCTGGTGCCCACAGCTCAGCTTCATCCTGTTCCTACTGCCC